CCCTTGACTTCCCCTCCGTGAACAGGCCGACCGTGACGGGTTTTACTGCAGTGTCAGGGGAACAGGGATTCCCAACACGGACCAACACTCACATCCTTCTCGGACCACTCGGGCTTGCGCACCCTTTCCTCGCGGCTCTTGGTCAGCGTGCGGTACCGCCCGCGCAGCGTCGACTCGGCCTCGATGAACCCCCCCAGCCGCCGTATCTCCTTGTACGTCATGCCCTGCTGCTTGTGCTTGACCAGAAACTCGTCCTTGGACTTCCGGTCCGTCAGCTTGACCGGTTCCCAGGCCCTAGGCGGCCTGCGGAGGTGGCTGGGAAGGGGCTTCGGAGGCCGAATCGGCACGGGCGACGACGACAACGACGATGACGAGGATGACTCCGACTCCGCGTGCCTGGCCCTGGGGTGCGGCCGCCGGTCGAAGTTGACCGAGGCAGTGGAAGAAAAGTCGGAATCGGTTGGGGATGCGCGCCGGTGCGTGTTGTTGACATAAGGCAGGGATCGCAGACTGTGGGTTGGCGCGTTTGGGAGCTGCTTGCGCAGCTTCGGGGCGGTGGACGGCAGCGGCACCTCCACAGAAGGCAGAGCCTCCATGGCATTGGGCGGCTCGTGGAGGTGAGCGTCGGAGAGGAAGCTCGTGTGCAAGGACTCGCAGGACGAAGACGGGGTGGGAGTCTGGCGGATCCGGAGCAGCTTGGGAGACACGGTCTTGTCGTCGTCGGATTGGCCTGGCTCCGTCTTGGTGTACGGTGCTTCCTCGTACACGGCTCGAACCCCGGGGGACGCATCCCATATCGGGTGTTCCGGGTCGTCGAGCGCCATGTTTTCCAGCCTGCCCGACGATGCATACAATTTGGAGTTTGTGCTCAAGTCACTCTCGAACATTGGTGGCAGCGACAAGTGTTGAAGTGCATCGCCGGGCCGAAAGGGCGTTTGCGGGAAAGCGCTGGTGTGGACATCCCAAGTGTACTGGCTATACTCGAGGTTCGAAGAGATGCCTGGGAGCGAGTGGTCCCAAATTGGGTCTCCGCCTTGTGCAAACGGAGAGAGAGCAGAGACCCCATGTGGGACCATCTGCCAGTAAGATGAGTCCAGGGGGTCGGACGCTGGGACGTTTGCGTCGGAAAACAGAGAAACGCCCCTCAGTTCCGTGGAAGTGGGATAGTGCGAGAAAGACGAGAAGGCGGACCGCGACGTCCGGTTGCCTGTCAGCGAATACCCTGCTCCGGCCTTTCCCGCAAACCAAACATTAGTTTCCCGGCCCCTGTGCTGTTCTCCCCTGAGACAAAGAAAGGTGTGGAGATGGAGGCAACGCACCATGAGAGACATGCTTTCCCCAGTGTCCTGGGTCTCGGCGAAATACCCGCTCTCATACGTCGGGAGACCGTGCTGCGGGATGGCTTGCCTGGGTCCGGGCTGGGCCCACCCGGGTTTCGGCGACAGCTGGTTGAAAGACATATCGTGGAGTCTCTGTTGGTGGAAGAATAGCGCCGTGTTGATCTGATTCAGTTGGGAGAGCCACGGTGCGAAGTCTGCAGCTGCAAAAGTGAAAACATTGTCCCGAAGTGAGACCATGTCCACCCGGGGCATCTCTGGGGTGATAAACATTCTCAACCCCTTGTGTGTTCCCCGTGGCAGCCCAATGCCCTCCGACTACTCCTTCGCCTCCTGCTTGCTCGCACCGCTTTCCACCGCTCACGCTTCCCTCCTGCTCACCGCTGCTTTACTCACTGTACGTGAGCGTGGGCAATGATGCGTTTGACCCCGCTCGCGAGAAAGATATTCGAATCACCAACTGTCTGAACCAGTGAGGGGTTCGTCGGGCTGCACCGTTGAGCGGTCAAGACGGATGGTTTCTGGTTCGCATGCACGCTTGTGTAAGTTCCCGATAGAACGCCTGGGGGAGTCGGACTGGCACAGGTTGGGTATGGGCGGTCCAATGACTCTAGGGGCACGAGAGGAAATCAGCGCCCGCAACCCCAGTTTTCGAGCGGTTTTCTGTCGTCGTCCACGCACACTTTGACGTTTTCAAAGGTCGGGGCGTTGGCTATGTTATGAGAAACAGTGTTTTACATACGCTCCAAAAGAGTCAAGGCTCAGGGCGACGGAGGCTCAAGTTGGAGTGAGGCAGGGACAAAGACAAAAAGTCGACAGAGGCAGGAAATACCACAGGAGATTCTCGGATGAAGAGGGCAGAGGTGAATCTTTTACGAAGGGAGCCAGGGGTACAGGAGAAAATATCAGGACGCAGGGCGGCGATGAACCACGGCCTGCCGGACTCGATAGCGCCAGGGTCGCGGCATTGTGTTCCTCTTCCTCGACAACAACGCCATCTCAGGTTTCTGTCATTTTTTTCAGGAGATTGAATGAATGCTTGCGACGGCAACCTTGCTGAAAATGGACGAGAGATTCCCAAAACAGGACGAGCCCTGTCTCCCGTGCGGGATGTATCCGCTGCCCGGAGTTCCCCCTGGACATGGGGGGCAAACGTCGGCCCGGCTGTCTTCCCCGGGTCTCCTATCCAGTCCAGGCGGCGACGGACGAGACGGCGATATCATATTTCACTGGCCTGAGAAAGCAACGGGGGTCAGAGGCCAAGCTAGTCTGATCAGACTGTAAACGCAGCCCCCTGCCTGGGTCATGGGTGCATCACACAAGGCAAGGCGGGTGGCAAGCCCGACCATGGGTGCGGATATGGCGCAGCGGTAGCTGTCGCGGCTAGCCACGCACATCCGGAACTGTTTCGGCAACGACCAGGAATTCCACCCACGTGGATAGCCAATGGCTGGGCTCCAAAGATGGGGGCGTTGGCCAGAAGACTGTTTGACTGCACAAATGCAAACGTCATTGGCTTGCATGCTGGGTCTTGGGGGGGCCTGTCGCTCGTTGCGTGACTTGCGTTTCTCCTCCCCCCACACACAACCAATCTGGCCAGGGCAGATGCATATCTGCGATTCGGGTATCTGATCGATGCTGTCGATCCAATGCAAGCCTCAGATGATGCCGCAGTGCAGAAGCAATCACAGGGGCACCACTGGGACACCACCAGGGCCGCCTTCCCCGACGCCGGGGGACTGGTCGGGCGGCCCAACAGCGCTGATTGGGGCCTCGGCGGGGTGGGCGATGCTTTTCTGCAGAGGCATCGGGGCTTGGAACACGCCATGCATGAGTCCTGTGTAAGACAGATCGGTAGTCGGTAGCGCTAGAGCAGGAGCGGCAGAAACGCCACGAACGACGGCATTTGGGATGTCAGTGCTGCGCTGACTCTGCAGCAAACAAGAGAGCTGTCAGATTCTGATCAAGGGACATAAAAACTCGGCGAATATCGGCCCTTTCCACGCTTCCGTTCTGGGAATCTCTCGCATACCGCTACGGAATGGGCCCGTTCGCTAGCTGCCCGATCTGGGTGGGTTTGAATGACCGACACGGTAGGCAGGGGTAAATGCCCACACCGGCACACACTGGCCGCGACCCCTTTCGGGCATGTTTGATGTACTCTTCCGTGGGCCGGTCAGGTGGGTGATGCACCCGATGATCGGAGGTGCCGCGCTGTGGGCCTCAGTGTCATTGGTCATGGCACTTCATCTTCGTTTTGAGGGCAGCCCTCGATACCCCCTTGTCGTTGTCGTGAGCGGAATCACGCACAGCTACACGGCACACGATGAGCGGTAGCTACCTCGGCTTAAGATGTGAAGACTGAGTGGCCTCATTGTTAAGACCAGTTGCTTCGTGTGGGCCCAGGCGAAGAAGTGGCTCGTGGTTTAAAAGTCAACGTTGGTCAGCACAGTGAAGCGGATGTAAGAGGCAAGGGTGTAATTAGCTGCGTGGCTCCCAGAATGGCTGGGGTGGTGGCTGCCACGTTGGAAAGTGCATGGTGCAATTAAGATGTACTTGGTAGATGTATTTTGATTTGTGTAGGTATCCTCTGATGAAGTTCTGTTTTGCGGTTTGACACACCCTCTGGCAAAAAAAAAAAAAAAAGAAAATCCGAGAGGGGAACAAGGAAACAAGAAAACAGAGAAAGAGGCAAAGAAAACCGAGCACAAGAAATATTTAAATGAAGAAAACCGCGGAAAATAAAAAGTAGACCTTGAACCTTCGAATGGCTTTCTATTCTGCCTCTAGTAAAAGCTATCGTCGGCATCTGTGCTTGCCGTTCCCCTTTCTTTTTTCCCATTTGCGGTGGCAGGTGCCCAAACGGCTCGAGAGCGGCCAATTGGGAAAGTGGCAAATGTGGAAAGTGGGGAGCTTTTGTAGGTCTCCAGACCACGTCAGAGACCTTGCTTGCCATTTTTCTTCTCATACCGTACCTACCTAAAAGTGCTTATCAGGGGCCACTGGCCTCAACCCAATGGACCCAAGCCCGAGCCCTTGCAGGACCAACTGCATGTATTCATACAGATTGTATGTTCATTGCGCAATGCGGCGATGGGCTGGAGCCAGGCAAAAGGCCATGCAGGCCGCATGAAGCATGAAAGCATGAAAGCCGCTTCCTGCACGGGCTGGAGTTATCACATTGAACCCCTCACTCATTGGCTGGTGGATTGGCTTCCATGACTTTGGTGCTGGGACTCCCGAGTCCTGACCCGTTGATTGCCCCGTTAATAAACAACAACTTTGACACTCAGGCGATCGATCCGCCTTCCCAGCAGCCGAGGCAAGCTACGTCTTTAACTTCCCAAACGACCTTGTTTTTCACCTTGTTTTCCACCTTGTTTTCCATAACCCTCTTGCTACGACACTACGATGGAGGACGGGAACGAGACGATGATGGAGGGTAAAAATGAGACGGCAAGGCTCGGGCGCCTCTGTCGCGAGTTCCTCGACGGCGTGCTGGCGAAAATCGATACACTTGGCGACGGTGTTTATGGCCTCGACAACGAAAGCCTTGCGTCACTAAATATTCGAAAGGCAGAACCTCTCGACATTCCAGGGCAGTTGCGACATACTTGTCTTGGGGTTGAGCAATGTGTATGACTATGGGTTTTCTCTTGGTTTGTTCCTCGGTGTCTGTTCTAGGAAACCAAACTTTCGCAAACGCCCGGTCACGGACAGGGGTGTTGTGTTACTAAACCTGCCAGGCCATTATTGGGAAAAGGCCTGGCCCTGGACCCAAACTCCGCTAGCGAGTTTGAGTCTTTCACAGAAACGGCTACGTTGCAAGAGAGGTTATAGCATAGAGGAAGACCTCTCGGGGTTTGATTGAAGTAACTACCCGGATATCACGATGCGGTAGAGGTAAGCTGGTTGCCTGTACCAAAGGGCCTAGGTACCTAAGTAACTTCGGCCTTGCAATGTTAATGCAGGTGTCGACATTGTCGAGTTCCGCATCAAAGTTGGGAACGATTCAGGGATAGAAACAATGATTAGGCACTTAAGGTAGTTAACTAGTTATGTATATTACAAGATTCGGAAAGGTTTCTGTAATCTCTCCTAGCGGACAAGTACATGTAGATAAAAGAAATTCACCAAGCTATCCGATTAGGTGGTTATAACTGCCATTGTAGACCGCATCGACTCCCGGACAGTCCGTTTCATGGACAGGTATATGCGTGAAGACATACATGCGGCTGTAATATGCCGGCATCGGGCCAGACGCGCACTTTCATGCCATGTGTTTTCTCATTGAACTCCGAATGCTTGGATGGATGGATGGAATTTATTTCGCCCGGAGGCACTGGGCCTATAGGGCCTTAGCACGCTAGCTACATCCGGATCAGATCGTTTTGCGTTTAACTCTCCGAATGCTTTCTCGCGGCGCAGCAATTGGCTGAGAGGTGCTTTTCACGTGACCCATTTCGGGACCTGCACAGTGCCAGTTTCATGGCCCTGGGATCCAAATCCCACCTCGTTCGATCACAGCCGCCAATTCCACCTCACATCTCACACCAGACCAGACCTCAACACAACAAACATCGGCACTTCCATCAATAAACAACCATCATGAGTTTCATTCGTCGAGCCCTGAACGGCAAACTCTCCCTCACCCGCCGCCAACACGACAACAACCCCAACCCCAACAACAACACCGACGGGACCGACCACGAAACCCTCCCCCCCCCCCCCCCCCCGCCTGACGCTCTCGAATTCTTCCTCGCCATTTCTTCGAGTGTTGTGGCTACCGTCTTCAG